TAATGCCATCTTTAGATTTTTTTAACCAATTATTTGACAAAGCAGCTTCAAAATATAAAGACCTTGCTTTTAAAATGGTGGAATGAGCTTTAAAATTTTTAACATTCTTGTCTTCTCCAACTTTAATTTCTACATCATAATAATCTGCTTTATTTAACAATGTTGTTAAGTCATTTACAAGTTTGCTAATATATTTTAATGGTGATGCATCTTTGTTGGAATTAATAATGTTGTTAAATAATATGTTCATATCCTCTAAGGATGAAAAATTCTTATTACTCATTTTTGAAGGAATTTTTTTTAAAAAGGAATTTAAATTAAATAACACTTGGAATGTTTATACACCTGTGAGCAACGTAAAGTTGCTACTTTTTTATGGTAATAAATAGTGTCACAGTATTTATTGGCCATTCACTAAAGATCGACAAACCAGCTGATCAGATATATATCCATGTGTTTATATTTATCCCTCGCCAGGTTAAGGCTGTATGTATATATCCTAAGAACATAGGGATAAAGGTCAGACCTATTACCTGGAAATCATCTACATGTAGTGAAATTTTTAAAAGAAATAAAAAATAAAAAAGTTTATATTTTATTTATACACTTCTAATTTTTCTAACAAATGAACTTTTTTATCACTATTTTTAAGATTCCAATTATTTTGATAAGAGTAAGAATGGCGAGGAAAATTATGATAACAAAAAGGGACATTATTAGTGCTGACAACTATTGCAAAACTTCTAAAATTCATATAACATTCACAAAAGTTTATATCATGATGAGTAATATTAATCTTTTGTTTATTCCATATTGCTTCTAGAGGATTTTTGACTCTACTTAATAGTGAATCATTTATTTGGTTTTCATCAATTTTAAAAGTAAAACTTTTGTCTGTTTCAAGACAGTAACTTTCATCTGGAGACTTTCTTTTAAATTCCAACAAACTGAGTTATAGCCACCGACTAATTCACCTGTTTCTTTAATTTTCATTATAATTACAGTTTGTCCTATATTATAGCATTTCTCCTCAAAAACAGATCTAAAAAATTCATCTTGAGATTGACAAAGAATTAATAAGGAAGTTTATTTTCATTATATGTATGATTTTTTCCATCAACCAATTTAGAAATTAAACATTTCATTTGTAAATTTAATATTTTTCCTCCTAAACCTTTTGAAGTAATAAACTTGGTTGCCATTTATCATTAAGATAAAACTCGAGAATTTTTTCATATATTTTTTTATTTATAAAGTTTGATTTTATTAGAAAAATCAGTTAAGATATATCATTAAACCTTATTAATGGAATAATATTTTCCATTGTGTTTTACAATTTGATGAAATCATCTTTATTCCGCTCTGAAAATATAAAAATATAAAGATTTTGCTTTTGAAATGGCGGAATGAGCTTCAAAAGTTTAATATACTTGTCATGATAAACTGCTTTATTTAATAACATTATTAAATAATTTACAAGTTTACTAAAATATTTATTTGGATTAAAAAAGTTATTTACGCTCTTTAAAGACGAAAAACTAGTTGTCATTTTTTAAAAAAGTGAAAGATTATTTATTTATTTTATCACAGAATAAATCAAAAAATTAGCCCACAATTTTTCGACTGATACTCTTTTAAGTAAATTTATAATATAATGCTTATAACTCTATCTACCAAACAAACTTCTTATTTTCATTTCCAAGGATCAAATTATAATATTAAGAATAGATGCGATAACAACAACAATAATAAGGTTCATCATCGATACTATTATATCATTAATTTCATATTATCTGTGTGAATATTAACATTTTGAGCATTACAATATAAACAAAGTTTTGTTTCGATTCAATAATCTTTCATCTGGGGACCTTTCTTTTTTATATTACAACAAACTGCCAAAATAATTCGCCAGTTTCATTATGGTGTTTAGAATTTATCTTCAAGATCAGTTTCAGAGAATCCACATTGAGATTCACGAGGGATTAATTTAAATCCGCATAAGTCAAGTTTTAAAGCTCCGAACGAATCGAATCATGTCAAAAAAAAACTGAATTTGATTCGAATCCGACCGGATTTCTAATTTTTTTTTAATGTCATTTTTAAATTTATATTTTGGATTAATTAATTAAATTGTATTAGATAGTAATAGATAGATATATTGCGCGGGCGGGACTTCTTAAACCCACCAATTTTGCACGTGATTTTTAAAGAATAGAAGTCCATTACTGTATATTCTTTTTAAAAAATAATTCTATAGTTGCATAGATTAAGACTCAAGCTTATCAAAATATTGAGTTCTGTTCCTTTTAGTATATACATGTAATTTTATAATTATTACTACAATTTTGCCGCGGGAGTCTTGCAACATTGATTTTATTTCTAATTTTGGTAAGCAATAAATTTTGAGATATTTTACTATTACACTGGGTTGGTGCCTGCAACTGGTTGCAACCTAGGTTCCAACATCCTGAGTTACGACTTATATTATTACAGCTCTTACGAACAGAAACCCTTGGTTCAAGAAGTTATCGAAGCTCGTAGTCATAAAGTGGCACTTTACCCAAAATTTCATGTGAATTTAACTTTATAGAGATGTCTTGGAAGTTACAAAAAAATATGCACGAGAGAGTTGTGACTATATTTTTAAAATCCCTGGAGAAAACTGTTCCTTTAGCACCGAATTCAGTTCCTCTTGAAAATATTTGTAAAAAGTTTGAAGATTTATGGAGACATAAATAGAGAGGCCTTATATATATATTGTCAAAAAATACAAATATCACAGAAAAATTCCAGATAATGTCAATATGATAAAAATTTTCTTATTGATGAAAAAATAAATAAAAAATTATGACCCGCATAGCGCAATAAATGGTGATATAGTTCTTCATTTGACCCATTCCATTGAATAATATCCCAAAAATGAATCTTTTTCTAATATAGCACAAGCATAGGTTTTTCGATATCCTTAAAATTAAAAACGATTCTGGATTCTCATTAATTAATTTTCTACAACTGAAATATTCAGATCACAATCATTAATTCATTCAAGAACGATTCAATTGAATTTAAATTATCTGCATAAACAATTTTCATATATATCTTTTAAAAATATTGTAATTATTATAAAACAGCTTTCCAATGGCTGTAATTATTATAATTTAATACAATATATTTTTGTCATAAAAATCTGTCGTGTAACAAAAAATTTTGCTCAAATAATATTAATATCAAGTTTAGTATTTTATTGCATTGCCTTTATATTTTCGTGTGTTCTTACTGATTTATATAACAATAAATCACATAAAAAAGGTTTTAGATATTGGAAAGGGATTGTTAGTCGGTAAAATACCTTTAAAAACTGAAGTCAACAATAAAAAAATATGGCGGCCATCATCAATCAAGATCAAAATCGAAACCACGATCAAAACCAAGATCATTCACTACTAATTGAAACAGGAAAATTTGTAATAACAACATTGGTAATAGGAGCTGTTGTTACTACAACAGGTTCAGCATCAATACCTATTGGAATCGGTGCAGTAATAATTGGACAAGGTGTCGTATATATAGCAGATATATACGATAATAAACCTCTCGAGTTTGTAGGAGAGGTTTTAAGCGGTGTAGGTACAACTATAACATTGAATGGCATAATGGGAAGATGGAAGGCATCTAAACAATAAGGCTGCAATTTAGAATTTCATTTATGAAATATTCTCACTGACTTAATAAATTTTTGTAAATAAACATTATAAAAAAAAATGTTTTTTTAACTATATAGTTGAAATCAGTCATCTATATAGTTGAATTTCGAAATTAATTAGAAAATTCAAATGATTTATTTATTTATACATATTTATACATATTTATTAAAGAACAATTTAACAAAACAGAACAATAAATTTTTTTTTATAATTTAATTTGACAAACTATTCAATTCTTCTCTTACTAATACCATTAATTTATGCAAAAGTACTTCCAATATGACCACAATTTTCTCTACCAGGATTGACGAAATAGATATAACCTCTATTGTTAGGAGCGCCCAATTCATTTTCAAAGAATGTTGACAATTCTTTTGATAATTTTTTATTATGTTCAACGTTCAAACCTTCGATCGAATAAAGCCTTGCCATATATGCTGGATCAGTCGTGGCACCGAAATAAACTGGTGCCTCGTCATTTAATACTATATTCATATTGGCAACTGGTTTGTTTAATAATTTGGACAATAATTCTGATAATGACTTCGCAAAGTCATCATGATGTTTCACCTAATGTATTTTTAACAGAAAAAAAATATATTTAAATGATTGGATAATTTATAATTTATCTGCTCATTTATCAATCTTTTTCAAGTCACCTTGACATTGGTATTTACTTCGATAGTAGGCATTTTTAATAATTTATGAAAAATAAATATAAAAAAGAAAATTTAAGAAGGTCATGGGAGAAAAATCAAAAAGATTAAAAAGATTAAAAAGTTACACGAAATCCCATAACTTTTTAAAATGTGACCATTTATATAAAACAAATCGATTGTGGTTAGCTGTGTTTCTTCATACTTACCTGGCGCGGTACTGCCATTATCATGAAGGTGGCGGTACAGGTGGTGGGTGCTGGCATTGCACATCGCCGGGGCCTGCTACTTCGAATATCCTTATGGGTATCTCGAGCGCATAATTTTTTGTAGTTGGAGTGATTGTGGTTCGCCGCAGTTGCTCCTTTTTTTAATATCAAGCGGGTTGGGGGAAAAAAATAATTGAATTGGGAGAAAAAAAAATAATTGGATTGGGAATTTAATTAATCCTAATTAAATTTATTGTTTAATAATAATTTTTAATATATACATATGTGTACATTTAATAAATTAAATTAATACAATGAATTATATATATATATCTAATAAATTAATAAAAGTATTTTTTAAATTTAATATATAGTGAATTATAATATACATTTATTTGATAAATTATAATAAATCATATATATCTAATAAAAAGTATTTTTAATATATTTAATAATATTATAATGAATTTGAACCTCGCGTTTGCTTCTCTCTATAACGAACAAAAGCAGAAAAATTACATATAGGAGACGGAAGGTTCGTCATAGAGTGTGGCTTGTATTTGGATGAGAAATGATGATTTTTGGTATGTGCTATTTTCATAGTGAAAATTTGAAAAATTATTATTCTTTATAATTTGTATACACATTAAATTCTCTATTATTTATCCAATTGCTTTAGACGATGGCATTGATAAAGACTGGGTTACGTTCATGATTTGGCTGCCTTTTTTGAAGAGAAAAATTCGGGAATAATCCAAAAATTATTATTCTTGATTTTGTATATTGAGCTACAAATATTATCATCTGCTTGTGAAATTTAGATAATCAAAATTTTGTTGAACCATCTCAAAATAATTATTTACAACTATATTTACATATATTAATATACGATAAGAGCTACTTACTACAAACAAAATCATAACGAACGAATAAAAAATCTATATAGAAAAATCTTTTTGCAATTGTGGCCTAGCAAACCTTCATCACATCACTCTTCAGTATTACAACAAAAAAATATTAAAATCATTCAACTTTGTCGAAGGCCAGAAATTTCTTTTATAGAACTTCTATTTGTAATAATGCATATCTTAATTATTTATAATTCAAACATTTAATGTAACTTGTATATTCAAAATTAATTACATATATTAACCTTTATTTGAATAGAAACTTTAAAACAACAAATAACAAGTAACGCCAATGACTTCGTCACTGTCATTCATCTATTTTTATTAATAAAAAACAACAAGTTAAATTATTTATTCGAAATAATTAATAATACTTTGTTATTTTTGATTTTTAATATTATATAATATCACTTTTTTTTAATGATTTAAAAGCTTTCGATTCATTTCTAAATTATTTGTTCGAGAAAATTATAAGCATTGACTGCATTCCTTTATTGTGATATTATATAGGAATATTCGCACCACTTTCCTCCTCTTCTTAATCTCTTCCTTAATTACCATTTCGTTATTGGTTACTCTATCATCAATTGATATATTCCCGCGCAGTTAATGGCGAAATGAAAGAAAATCTCTTAATATCACTTTCTATTATTAAATTAGATTAGCTATATTCACAACCTCTATATTGTCTGGCAAAAGAAGAATACAGTCCTCTTCCAGCAATTATTAATGGTAATTGGAGTAACGTTGTCCCAAGCTTTTGCAACAAATTATACGGCCTTTTTAATATCAAATTCTTTAGGGTTTTTACCTTCATGTTATCTATTTTATCATAGTCGAATAAAATAAATAAAACATTATCTTTTTGTTGTTATTTAAATCCTTTTCTTGGATGTGAATGCATTTGTCGCCATAAATTCCATATGTCTGTTACAATTCATGATGAATATCAATATGCATTATATATATTCCTTTTATAAAGGATTAATAAATAAATTAAGTAATATCAAGATCATGCACGAACAAAACTTTTAAGGAACCGATTTTTGAAATATCCTGATGAGTAAAAGATGAGAAATTTAACAGAGTTGGAAAACAAAACCCTTGATCTTCTTTTTTCGTGTGGGACGATGGTCCCATCCAGGGTGTTGTGGAAAATTTTTTAGTGATTGAGTATCTACTTGGTTCCTTTTTTTGTGTGTATGTACACTTCCAAATTGCATACAAGTTGTAGAGTATTTAAAAATCATTTCCAAAAAAAAAAATAAAGAAAAATAAGTAGGCAGAGTTGGCATTGGTCAACATCCTGGATATGTTCAAGGTATATTGAACTTGGCATTCTTGATGATAATAAATCTGATGATGGTGGTTGGGGTAATTGATTGTCATTTTGAGTTGATGATTGGAGTTGGAGTTGCTCGGGTGAAGAAGGTTGTGGTTGTTTGTGATGTTGTTGTTGATCCTACACTTAATGGAATTATGTACTCGATCTACAGTTGCAGGTAACATGTCAACCTTTATCACGTGCGTTAGATTTAATAGGTTTCCTCATTCAAGCATGCAAGCACTGTGCAATTAAGCACCGTGGAATTTCTCCACAGGTGAAAGAGGGATGAATAAGTCGGATGACTTCAGACAATCGAAATGCTTTAATCAATGTTGGCATTTGACCATTAGCCGGCCAACATTATTGGCCAAAAATGGCCAGAATGGTCAAAACAGCCAAGACAGCGAAAATTTATTTTTTATAAATTGGTGATTTTCCGCAAATCATCATCTGTAATCCATGACCCAAAGGTCAGTCTTTTTAAAGAGTCATCTCATTGGCTCGGGCACAGTGATTCACTCACTAGAGGTGGTTGGCCAAAAATGGCAAAATGCCAACAATAGCTTTAGCAGTCTCCTTTGACAGTGATGTAATTCCCATAAATCCCAGAGCCACGTATCCCCTGGAATTCGATCGCACCATTGTATCTCAGGACAAGCTAGTCAAATGTTCATGAGGAGCAAGAGAACGATTGTAATGGTTTAAATATAAGTCTCCATATGATAATCAACGTTGCGTATCAAGTTTCTTGGTGTTTCCAAATTGTCCAAGCATGTGCAGTTTTCCGTATGAGAGTGAGAACAGCTGTGTTGCCTTTTTCGTCTCTGATGTTTCTTAGTTTCTTATGATTGTTTTTTTTTCTAGTCTGACATTCATTTTTATATTAAAATTTTTTAATTCATGATGAAGAAAAATATCTCATTATTTTTATAATGAACTTGATGATTAATTAATGTAAAGAAGAACTTTCTAACAAATACCTTTTCATATTGAAAAGACGTTCTCATATTAAACTATAGTTATTCAAAGATGGTTTGCTTTTTCACTTCAAAGCCGAGATTATTCCTAGTATCTAATGATGTATGACGAAATTTTTGATTTTAATCATTGACGTAACCAAATTATTGACTAGAGGTAGTTTCCCACTAGGCCATTTTGACGATTTGACTAAAGTAAAAGCACTTGATGTAATTAAAAATATTTGACGCAAGTAAAAATGCTTGATACAAGCAGCAATAATGATAATGATAAAATAGGATTATCAAAAGTGTAAAAATGTGTGTCCCGAGACGAATAAAGAATTATTATATCATTCTATGTATATTGCAATGATGCAAGAAGAATAATTATCATGAAGTTTATAAATGTTATAATTAAATTAGAAATTTTACTTCATTAAACTACTTATTTTTTCCTCTTTTTTACAAATTAAAACCATTCTTTTATTATTTATTACATTTCATAAAATGCAAATGTTTTTTCAAAATTTTAACTTTGAAGTTAGTTATAATAGTAATACGCAATAATATTAATAGTATGCTTGAGCTGTCTTCTTTGGTGTCTGAGTTTGAAATAACATACATAGGTTTATCAATATTAGTACTTAGAGCGACCTTTACATAACACATAAAGACAGGTTTTGATACATATTTTCATGAGTTTTAATTTTGTTTTCTATTTTTATCACTTTTAAATCTTCAAAGAATTTCTTTTATTGTTGAATCATTATTGTTCTTTAAATAATGCATCCTTATCAATTAATATTGATATTAATCAAAAAATGTTGTACGAAAAAATTGTTGTTACACGTTATTTATTCAATTAATTATCCATAAAGAAAAAGTTATTCTCATTTATTTAAATACAAAGTCGAATTTTATATTTTTACATAATGTCATATAATAAATTATTATCATCGTTATCAACAGAAAGAATAGCACTTGTATTTAAAATTCATAATGAAATGTATAATAATACTCAGGTTAATAATTCTGATGAAGAAAGTAGAAAAGATTATTTTCTTTCATTAGTCAAGAAAAACAAGGAGCTTTCTGAAAATGAAAAAGAATATTGTAAGGAAGAGTTTATTTATAATGTTGAATTGCGGAATGCAAGAGATAAAACAGGAAAACCAAAAGAATGTAACAAGTGTAAATTGACAAGATACTCTGATAGGTTCTGTGAATGTTGTATTAGTTTACAATTACAGAGTCTTTTCACCACTTGGACTTCTGGAAATAACATAGTTGACAACTTTATTCAACAATGTCAAATGAAATCATCTCTGCCAAACTATATTTTAGAATG